TCCCGGGCCTGGGGACTCTCCTCCTCCTACGGACACCCACAGGCCTGCAGGCCACAGGGCAAAGCTTCCTCTGGTGCTCACAGCCCTTGCTGTCAGAACATGTGGCAAACAGGACAGGCTATTTATTTTTGAAACTCGGTGTTGTTCTCCCTAGTACCTTTCCCCAACGTCTGCCTCACATAGATGAGTTAGTTGAGTCACACAGACTCCTGTAGCTTTTGTTTATTTGTTTGTTTGTTTACTTTTCCCTAAAGGCCTCACTTGCTAGTGGCAATGGAGAACTGGGAGGAACACTGCCCAGATGAAATCTGTCTGGAAAACTAGCTTCCTGTTTTGTGTTCTACGACAAGCTAGCATTTCCCAATGTGGCTCAAAATCTGACATCTGGGCCCAGGATTTCATAACGCGGTGCCTTCCTGGGTGGGCGAAGAGAAACAGGAACTAAGTAACGCATCGGTGGCCAGCATGAGTAGAAGGGGAAACCTGGCTCCTTTAGTTCACCACTAAGAAAGAGAGGTGGCTGACCAACCTGTGTGCTCACCAGTCCTCTCACTGCAGAGTGAAATGAAGAACCCAAATGTGCCAGCCCAGGTGGGCCGTGGTCCAGAACATCCTCTGTGCAGATCTGGACTGAATCACAGTGAGGGGGGCAGGGTCTTAAGGCTTTTCTGACCAGCCTTTCATTTCACAGGTAAAGAAAGTGAGGCATACAGAGGAGGAGGTCAGAAACCTCTCAGAGGCTGGGACTGGGACCTGGGTCTTCCACCTCATCCCTGTGGGTGAGTGGTCAAAGCTGAGAAGATTCTGAATTCCAGTTCACCACTCAAAGCTTGAGTTAGCTTGTCTGACTTTGCATGGATGAATCAAATCCTGGTGACTCCATGTTGGTCTGGCCATCTAATTATCAAGGAAGAAACCCAAGATGGGTTGGGAACTAAAAAGGCTTGGCCTGACTCACAGCTGATCACACACACACCAGGAGCTTCTGGTCACCTGGGTGGGGAGGCAATCCTATTCCTGGCTTGTCTGACCTTTGCTATGCCTGTACTTCTCTAATACTCAGAGGGCCTTTTAGGTCTCCTCACTGGGGAGACACAATTTTGCTTTTCCCTAGATCTGAGGAATGGCCTTGGGTTACACACATCACGTGGAATGCGATTCCTTATCAGGGCCCCCAAACGCAGCCCTGGGGGTGTTCTGCACACTCCCTGAGCTGGCTCCCAGACTATGCTCTTTCTGTTCTGACAGCAATCCAAAGAAAAGCTCCTGGCATGGGAAACTGAGAAGGGGAGAGAAACAGTGGCTCAGACACTTGCTCCCAGCCCCAACCCTGAACTGGGCGGTTCTAAGGGCAGGTGATTTTGTCCCTCAAGCGTGTAAATCCAAGCCTCTACTTCCTGGGCAGTAAGAACCAAGGCTGGGGAAAGTGGAGACCACTAATTTAGATTTGCTATAATGTCTGAGGCACTGCCTCAGAGAGGTCATATCAGGTTCTCCAGCCACCCATGTGCAAAGACACACCTGAGCTTGCACCCCCTGGCAGCATGGAGGTCTTCATCAACACATAGGAAAAGTATGAGTAAGCAACTCACACCCTGCCCCTTAGCGCACATCAGATTCTGACAGCACGGGATGCCTGATTTGAGATACCGGAAGAGTTGCCAAGGAGGATGGGGCCTGCTCACCAAGCCCAAGAGGTTCAGCAATTGGGAGTTTGCTATTTTTGACAGAACATTAAAACCTTGCAGACACACTCAGGAACTGTTTATTGCTTGTCCAGGCAGATTTCAGGGATGAGACAGGGTTTTTTGTGTAAATCAAGCTCTTGTGCTGCCAGAGGTGATCTGTCTCTGACGGGGACTCCATGTCAAGAGCTCTGGCCATTTCTCTACCAGCAAACTTAAGAGGCTTTCCAGGGGCACCCCCCACCCTTGGAGGTATCTGCAAAGTGCCTACACATGGTTCAGGAAGGCTCTGAGTCCTTGAGTGGGGATTTCAATGCCCCTGTCAGCAGAGTGTGTCAGTCCCAGGGCTGCCCTGAACACACCTGGGTTCACCATCTATTGAGGTAGCTTCCATTGTGTGCTTTCATTAGGCTTCACCTGAGCCTTCCCTGCCAGGGAGCACCCACCCAGGGAGGTCTACACCTGGCTGGTAAATGGTGGCATCAGCTTCCAACCCAGCATCCTGGTCCTGGTGCTCTCCTGCCTTCTGGGCCACTAGGGGGATCAGAGGTGATTTAAACACCCAACCCCAGAGAGTCTTGCATGTTTGCCTGCATTTGGCTATAGAGAGGTACCTACCACAGTCCCTCAGTTCATTCCCAAGGTGAAAATAGCAAGGGTTAGTGAGCCGAGGGCTCTCACTAGATTGTTCCCTGGTCCAGCATCCATACCCTGCACTTGGGCTACTTTATCTGCAAAATAAAATACATTTTTCAGAGAACCAAATCCCCAAAACATGTTAGCTACTTTGTAGTCTGGCTGATACCGTGAAAAGCCAAGATTAGGTAACCTTGCTGTGTAGTTACTGAGAAATCTGAGAAATGCAAAGGGCCTTCTGCCTTGACCTCTAAATTTGTGGTAAGACATATGAAGGGACCTTAGGGTGGCAAAAGTAGAGACAGCCAGCAGACTCCATGGGATATGGTCTTTTAGGCATTCCCATCTCCCCTCAGCCCTGGGCATTGGGCAGGTCTCTACATCAGCAGCATCCCAATCTGAGAATCTGTTAGAAATGCAAATTCTCAGGCCTCCTCCCAGATCTTCTAAACAGAAAACTGTGAGGGCAGGGCCCAGGGATGTGTATTTGGGGGACAGCCCCAGGTGATTCAGATGCATGAAAGAACCACTGGTGGCAAGTGAAAGCTGCTCCTGGTGACATTCTTGGACGTGGGGCCAAGAATGACTGGTGTGTTGGCAAGCTACTGGTGTTCACCCGTAATCATCTATATGTACACCAAGCCACTTGCTGGACGGCTCACTGCTGAGATCCACCATGGGAGGAAAGAGAGAGCAGCAGGGAATCAGTCTGGAATTGTCAACAGTTTTTAAGGTTCACTGGGGAGCACTGTGGGCAGCATCTCTCCTTTCTTCTCCTTTTCCTGGTGTTGGTCATCTGCACGTGGGGCTGAGCACGGTGGGGGATTTAGCCTGCACTGTGTTCTCTGGTGACTGGCCACATTTCTCCTCTCGCCACCCCGCCCCCCAACTTTGCCTTCCTGTCCTCAGCTCACTGTCCTGGCATGCTTTGCCCGTGGAGAACACTTGGGACATAGGTCTGACAGCATTTCTCTCAAATAGGAGAATAGAAATATTTTCACCAGCTCAACCCTTCTTGCTGCCACCCTGGGAAGGAGAAGTGGGCACAGAGCCCTCCCCCATCCTTTCAGGCTCTGATCACACCCACCTCTGTGCGCGGGGAGTGAGTACCAGCAAAAGGCTCATGGTGGGATAGGTAGGAGGCAAGAGACGACCAGGTCAAAAAAAAAAAAAAGTTGAAAAAAAAAGTTTGTTTATCATGTTAAAAAAACTAACCTCATACAGGAAGTATGAGAAGAAAAAGAAGAAGAAAATTTAAAAAAAAAAAACAAAAAACACCCGGCTGTGATACTGGAAGTGCCCACACTAGTTACAGATAAAATATGTATTCCTCTGTTTCCATATTTGATTTTGCAGGGATGGTAGGAACAGGCAGGGCGGGACACTTGGGAGTGACAGGATAAAGTGAAGAGGTGACTGGGTGCACTGGGCACAGGCTTGCCAAGCACAGGGAAG